ATATTTTCGGCGACAAGCTGACTAACTGGAATTTATATTTCCCGCTGGGGATTCAGGTGGTAGCTCTGCTGTAAAAAATGTCAAATTGCCACATTTATTTATTTCTTGTCATTCGGTTTGACACTTTAGTTTTGTATTACTATTATTACTATTAGTATTATTACCTTAATTGAGATTTTGGTTTAAATGAATTGTGTTGTGATACTTTGAGCTTAAAAACTTTACAAGCAGACCTTTCAGTCGAACATTGTTCTTTTTAGAACCGCTTTTAGTACGAAGTATACAGGATGCCGCAATAGCCGTTGCAAAAAACTCATCGCAACATTATTAGAATATTTTGAACGGGAAAGCGGTGGTAATGGCCCTTTATGTCCCTCAAGTGCTGTTAAGTTGTGAGTTTTGTTGATGTAAATAATAACTGTTTATATATTTATAATTAATTTATTTTTGTTTCTTAAAATATCGTTATTAAAAGAAAATACGTAAAAGTGGGCAACGCTGTGCCGGTCAAGCTTGATCACGTGAGTAAATGTTTCTTTGGTATGATCTATATTTAGTTTATTAAGTATACTACCAGTAAAATACAAGACATTCACAAAAATAACAAATAACAGAATACAAAACTCATGAGATGCAGATCCTGACCACGAGAACAAGTAGAATTTAGCAGTAGCTTCAGCACAATTGATCACATATATACACTAAGAGAAACTATTACCCGAACAAAAGATTACGAACTTCCTCTAGCCATAGCCTTATATAGACTTTATCCTAAGGCAATAATAGAAGACCTAGCGAAACAAGGTATTGACAGGCCTTATGTAGAAACTCTCGCAAATATATACAAAGAAGCCAAAGCAAGAGTAGTGATATATGAAACTATCGCAGAATTTCCAACCGGCAATGGAGCACACAACACGACATTCCCAAAGCTGTTAATAACAACACTAGAAGAAATCTTTCATCAACTGGACTGGGCCACCAAGACAAAAGATTGTAAATAGATGGCCCTAGCGAAACAAGGTATTCTTCTTTTTCATGTGCCTTCTCCTCATCGGAGGTTGGCGACCATCAATTGGAATTTCTCCCTGTCTTGAGTCAAACGGATAAATGCACTGGCTTCTTCTATATTAAACCACTGGCGTAAATTCCGCAACCAGGAAAACCGTTTACGCCCGATGCCTCGTCGTCCTTCAATCTTTCCCTCAACGATCAGCTGTAGGAAACTATATTTGTTATTCCTAAACGTATCTATACATAACAAGGTATTGACAGGCCTTATATAGAAACTTTCGCCAATGAAAACAGGGAAGCCAAGGTAAGAGTAATGATATATAAAACAACTCCAGAGTTAACACGACTGGCAAAGGAATGCGAGAGGGAGACGCGATATCTCCAAAGCTGTTTACAGCAACACTAGAAAAAATCTTCCATCATGGACTGGTCCAACAAAGGATTAAAAATAGATGAAGAATATCTTAACCATCTAAGATACGCTGATGACAGTCCTAATTGTCAGTAGTCTTGAAGAACTACAAGCACTAATCAACGAACTAAAAAAAACTAGCAGGTCTCAAAATGAATTTAGCAAAAACTAAAGTACCTAATGTACAACGACGTGGTAGACAGAATAATATAAAATAGACAGAAACTGCAGGTCACACAATGCTCAAAAAAAAATAGTGTGGATACGACAAAAGATCCAGGTAATAGATACTGTTACCAGAATAAAATTCCTTAATTGGCAATATGCAGGGCAGCTGGCAAGAAGGACGGACAACAGATGGACCACAAAAGTTGGCAACCACGAGGAATTAAAAGACGTAGAAGAAGACCAAACCTAAGATAGTACCGTGATATTAGGAAATTAGCAGGGATAACTTGGACCTAGATAGCCAACAATAGACAACAATGGACCCTACTACAAAAAGAGTTTCTAAATCTGTGAGGGAGGCTACACCATAATTGGAAATGGTTGAATAAACTGAAAGTGATGGTGATGATGATATTTAGAAAATATTAATTAAGGCTTAAAATTAAGATTGCAACGAATTCTAAATCTCCACTCAATCAATTTTTTTATTGATGTACTAAAAATTCTTGATCTAAGGATACATGCAGTATCAAACCTCTTAAAAAATTGCTCTTTCCTGACCCCGAAATTCCACTGCCTTTCAGAGACACGAAATGGACATTTTTATGGCCATCATTACGCAATTAAACTGTCGTATAACAATGAAATATAAGAAAGAGAAGAGACTAGATCCTAAGCGGGGCATAGTACGACGAAGTACTTTTCAACGATCTCAAAGTTACGCTCAAGCTGTTACTTCCCATTGTGCGTAATTAGATTAACAATAGGAACGATAATAATAAACATAATTGTAGGAAGAAGAAGGCTGGGAGATTTTAGTTTAGTCTTTTGTTAATTTACAGTCAGGGACGGAGAAAGATTTTTGTTTTATTTTTTAGCTATCTTTTGTAAAAATTTTACATTTTTTACACCTTTAGATATGAAAATCAATGTGGCATTAAAAGCAGTTGCGGAAAATATTGATTGTGACAGGTCCATTTTAACTATTTTACCGAAAACCTGTATGTATAATATGTAATTATTCTTTCAAAGCATAAATTATGCTTTTTCTATGTATATTTATTTAATTTTCTCCATTAGAACACATGCTAATATGACTGTGGTTTTTATATTTAATTATTCTGGTTGTGTGCTAGGAAGTACATTTTCATGCATATTTTCACCGATAGGTTTGTAGCTTCTGAATAACAGTCTAGGTGAAGCATTTAGTTCATTTGCTAGATCAGAATTAGAATTATTAGAGTTAAGCAACTCGCATTTTCATTGGAGGACATTGTCATATTTATTTCAAACCAATAATCAACGAGAATATCCCTGTAATTTAACAAAATTACTCTACACCACTATAAATACGAATTGTTGGTTAGGTTCAAAATTTTTTCTCATCTTAAATAAATTTAAGCGTAAACATTATTAGGCATTTGCATAAAAGTATATATTTTGGGTGGTATTCCACAAAATTTACAGACTATTGAATAAACAGAACATATACAGATTACAGAAATTAATGGAAAATAATATTTATATTTAAACGGCATTACCTATATGTCAGATCTTTAAACATCTTCAAATCGTCCAAGTTAAAAACTGTTAGTAAGAAGTTCCACTTCAAATGTGCGCACATAGTACACACACAATTTTTTTTCAAAAATAATGTTTCCAAAAAACGGAAATTAAATAAAATTTGCAAAAGATGTTTAGAAAAGAATATATTTTTGATGTGTTTTTATAACAAAAACAATCAAGATATGAAATTGTGTATTTATTTTTGCAGATTTTATTTGCAATGAAATAATGTCAGTTTATTTTCAAAATTTCTATCATTTGATTCGTGATTATTGAAGTTCGTAAAAATCTAGATGTTATAAAATGAATTTTGATAGAATTCAATTATAATAATTTGGAATTGTATCAACTTTCAACCTGCATTTGTTTTAGTGCTTATTTACATCATTTTGCAAGATCTCAATCTCTAGCCAATTTTAAAACACTCTGTAAATAACAATGCTTTATCTCAGTACAGTGTAATACACACTAATAGGAAGTTTTTCAATATTATACAGGGTGGTCCGAATTGTATACCGGAAACTATGGCAAAATATTCTGCAGATAAAAATAAGTAAAAAAGTTCGTATAAATGTATGTCCTAAAATGCTTAGTGTCGGATATATAGGGTGTAGAAATTTCATTTTTATTTCGATTTTTTCCAAATAATTAACGTCGATATTTGGATGATAATTAGTGTCTGGGGGTTTTTAGATATGAGAAATTTGATTTTGATGTCAATATAACTCCTCATTTGTAGAGGGCGCCACCTATATCTGTTTTAACTGTTTTGAAGAGTAATAACTTTTCGTCCATACCTGTATAAAACCACTGTGTGAAAGAATATACATTTCTGTGATTTTTTACGTAAAATATCATTCTTGGTAAAAATCGCTACGACCAACCGTTCTCAAGATATTTAGAATGAAAATAGTCAATACATGTATTTATTGACAAAAAATAAATATGTTGAGTAGATAGTTTTTTGACTGAAATGATAAATTTGGGAATTTTTTATTTTTTTAAATAATAATAAATTATTCTTTGAAAAAAATGAACAGTTTTTGTGAACAGTTTTTGCTGAACTTTTGGCAAAAAACCATTTCAAATTTATGATTTCAGTCTAATAACTATTTAGTCAACATGTTTAAATTATATCAGTGATACCAGGTATTGATAATTTCGATTCCAAATATCTCGAGAACCATTACTCGGAGCGATTTTTACCAAGAGACCTTTTTTACGTAAAAAATGTCGTAAATGTATATTTTTTTACTCAGTAGTTTTATACAAGTACGGACGAAAAGTTACTTATTACTCTTCAAACCAGTTAAAAAATATATAGGTGGCGCCCTCTACAAGTAGGAGTCATACTGACATCAAAATCAAATTTCTCACGTCAGAAAACTCCCAAACACTAATTTTCATCCAAATATTGACGTTACTTCAGAAATTATTTAGAAAAAATCGAAATAAAAATGAAACTTCTACACCCTGTATCTCAGAAACTAAGAATTTTAGGACATACATTTATACGAACTTCTTTACTTATTTTTATCTGCAGAATACGCTGCCGAAGTTTCTGGAATACAGTTCAGACCACCCTGTATAGTATGTGAAAAAAGAAAATAAAAAGTTTTTTTTCACAACTAAAATTAAAATCAGTTTACCTATTATTGCAAAAAAGGATATACTAAAACAGGAACTAAAACCGAACACTCAGAAAAGATTTTTTTTATATATAAAATTCCACTGTGTTTAGAAGCCGCAGACACAAAATGAAAGCAACTCTTCACTCGTATACAAATGCGACTAACGCAAAAATACTTAAGGTTCAAGAGGTATAAAATAAAAAGATAACTATCTTTATTTTCTATTACAAAAATATTATATTTAAAAATGTATAATAAAAATAATAATATTCTAATAGGCTTTTTGTAGCATCAGATTTTCATTTAGTATTTAAACATATTTTAGTTAACAATTTATCTAATCAATGTATTAAAATATGGTATATTTTGAATAACTTTATATTCTTTCCGCCCTTAAGTACAGTTTCTCATTGGATTTTAACAAAAAATATTGTGAACTGACCGTAAGAGGCATTTTCGTTTTTGAACTGATACTCAGTTTGAAATTAGTCAAAACTCGAATAATGCCGATCCTGGACTGCATAAGACCAAATCTCAACCCTATACAATTCCTGGGTCCTTCACCAAAAGGAATGTGGACGTAAGGGTGCCTTTTTAACTTTTCCTCTGCAGTAAACCTTTCTGGGTCGAATTTTTCCGGGTTAGGAAAATATTCCGGGTCCCTGCCTAACCCCAAAGGTGAAATTTCAATTGCAGTACCTTTTTCTATAACAATATTCGTATCTCTAAGTGTGTAGTCCTTGGTACAAATCCTTTCTAAGGATATTAGTGGAGGCCATAATCTCAATGTTTCGTCTATAACTTGTTGTAAGTACGTCATTTCTTGAAGTGCTTCGTAAGTGATTTTGCCTTGATATTTGGCTAAAACTGTGTTAATTTCATCCCTAGTTTTCTCCTGAATCTGTGGATTACGAGCTAATTCGTAGAGAGTAAAATTCATTGTTGTTGAGGATGTATCAAATCCTGCTATAAAGAACAAGATGGTGTTGGCTACTATTTGGTTAAAATTGACGTATTTCTCACTATCAGTTGGTTCTTCATGCATATCCAGAAGAAGTTGAAGGAAATCTGGTCTCCTCACCTTGTTGTTCTTCCGATATTCCAGCGTGCTACGCACTACCTCGGTGAAAAATGCTTTTGGCAAACTATCTTTTGCTAAGGCACCAAGTGTTTTACCAATACCTGGACAAATACTCGCGATAAATATCAACAAACTGCTAAATTTACCACCATCCAATAGACGTCTGCCCATGTTTAAAAATTCTGGCTTCGAGTTGTCAAAACTGTTACATTCCACACCAAAAGCTACACTCCCTATCACATCGGTGGTGAAGGCAGCCATAATTTCCCTGGAATCGATATCCTGACCATCTTGAACATCTTTTTTCATGAAATCGATCATATAATTGCTGCATTCCAACACACTATTGAACATCATTTTCATTTTTCCAGATGTGAAGGTGGGGGTCAGTTTCTGCCTGAGCGGCTTCCAGCCTGGATTTCGGATGTTAAAAAGGTGCGCACCTTTGGGATTGTTCTTTTCGTCGACATGATCGTTTCTATCTATAAAATGATTGAAGTCTTTTGTTAGAACGTCCTTTATGTATTCCGGATCTACCAGAACCAAACGCCTACGTGAAAATGTGTATACTCCTCCAAATTTGTGACCTTTAATTTTAAGTTCGTCGTACCACGTTTTGGCATCGGTCGTCGTATGAAGTGTTTTCTTAAATATGACCTTGACATTTCCATAGGGAAACGTAGGTTTGAGATATGGTACTCCTTTCCTTTCCCAGTACTGGTAAGTGTGCTGAAAATATATCCAGATAGCCAAAATAGAAGCAGCCAATACAAAAAGGACATCAATCGCTACAAGCTCAGACAAAAAAAGACCCATTATGTGTGCTTTTGTATAGAATCTACATGGAGTACCGAGTCCCGAATCACAAAATAATCACTATCTTAGACAATATAAATAAATATAAAATGATGCATTCAAATCGTATGTTACTGAGAGCAGTATTACGATTGTCTGAATTTTTATATTACAAGATGAGTCAACAGAAATTATTGTACATCACAAATAAGAGCATTTAACAATCTGTATATACATACAGCCACTAATCTAATTGTATTAGGTTATGTCTTATTTTTTATTGTAGAATCTTAGTTTTATTCATTTCAATTGCTTATATTGTTTACTCTATAAAATAATTATTAAAGCTTGTGATACAAAAGTTCATTATCTTAATCAAATTTTATACTGTTCATTAAATATTATACTGATATACAGTCAAAATAATTACTTAAGTATTATTTTTAAGAAATTTTTTATTGTTTTCGAAATGCATTTCCAACATAAACATATGAAATACCAGGTTGTTTTAAAAATAAGGACTACATGTTTCCAACATCATTTTAAGGTACTTAAGGTATGTTAGTATATTCCTGGTTTTGTATTGTTACCTGTTCAGTTTTAATTAAAAAAAACAGTGTGTGCACTATGTGCGCATATTTGAAGTGAAACTACTTACTAACAGCTATTAAATTGGAAGATTTGAAGGATATATATTTTTTATGAGTGCTTTTTATAAACTTCAAAAAAATTAGATTATTAATAATAGTTAATTAGAATTAACTTCAAAAGAGTTAATATACTAACCAACAATTTGTTTTGTGTGGTCCTTGGTCTCTTTTTGTTTAAATGTTTTGTTTATTATTCATTATATATAATGATTTACAGTACTTTTATTAAATTACCTATACGAATGTACAGGGTGTCCCATTTTAGTTGAAATCATACATTATCTCCGTTATTAGTGAAGATAGAAGGGTGCGGTTTGCACAAACCTGTCTCACTTTTTTGTCAAACGGAAGATGCCGTAAACAAAATTTTCATAGCCCTCTTCGTTTCCGCGCTACAGGGTCTTTTTGAAAGTTTTCCAATTTGGGACACCCTGTATCTCTGTTTGTGTTAAAGCTATCGAGAAGGTGAAAACTGTTTATTCTACAACTTTTTACGTAGAATACAGTGACGTAGTTTGGTTTTCTACCAAAAAAATATTTTTGAAAATATGAACTAAAGTTATGTTTTTTTAAATGGAACACCCTGTATATTTATAAATCATATGATCTCTCTTGCCATAAGCTTCTCAATAATATATATCACTCTATATTTATTTTCACTATTTACTGCAATATTTAAAAGTTTTTATTAAAGGATCATATTTATTAGTAGGCCATGATTGATAATAAAAGAAACTAAAGAATTATTAAAAGTATACTGCTATCTGTTTCTTGTTTTATTTTGGGAGCCGCTAATAAATTCTTTATATATTAGGGAAACTTAACTCCCTACCGCTATTTGTAAATCTTGGAATACGTGTATACGTACGAATAATCTATCGTATCGGAAATTTTAGATAATCCTTTAGCTAATTTACGTGAAATATACTTTCAGCAAGATGGAGAACATTCCCCCTCATAACTATGAAAATATTAGGATACTGTTAAATTATTATTTTTCAAATCAATGAATTGGAACCAATGAACACATATTGACAGCCTCCTCGATTCCCGGATTTCGCCGTTCTCGATTTCTGATTTTGGGGATTTTTGAAATACGAAATATATCGTAGGCACTACAGCCTACAACAATGTCGAACACCTGAAAAATGCTTTAATAATTCAAGCTTTTGGATATTTGCAAACCCATTCCGTTATAAAAAAAAAGAAAAATATATTCACAGTTTCAGTGGTAACAGTTATTTCAAAAGTAAAATATATCAATCCCAAATTAATTTTAATATGTGTGTGACTATTTTAGTAAATACCATTTTGATTTTTTGTTATTTATCACGGCCTACTAATAAGAAAATGATATATTTTAAATATTGCAGTAAATAGTAAAAATAAATATAGAGTGATATATATTTTTGAGAAGCTCATAGCAAGACAGATCATATGATTTATAAATATGCAGGTTGTTCCGTTTGAAAAAACATAACTTTAGTTCATATTTTCAAAAATATTTTTTTGGTAGAAAAACAGACTACGCCACTGTATTCCACGTAAAAAGTTCTACAATAAGCAGTTTCGCCTTCTCGATACCTTTAACAATAACAGAGATACAGGGGGTGTCCCAAATTGCAAAATTTTCGAAAAGACCCTGCAGCTCAGAAACTAAGAGGGCTGTGAAAATTTTGTTTGCAGCATCTTCCGTTTGGCGAAAAAGTGGGATAGGCTTGTTCAAACCGCACCCTTCTATCTTCCCTAATAACGGAGATACCCTATGATTTCAACCAAAATGGGACACACTGTACAGGATGGGTCAAATTCGACGCTTTTAAAGGGAAACACCCTTTTCTATAGGAGATAGACGAAAACTAATATCGGTGTCTGTAGCTCAATTTTTATCAAAAACATGATGCTGAAAACCGCACATCGATATCTATTACCGTTTATGAGTTACGGGGGTTTTTTCAAAAATATGCATTTTTAACAAAAAATATGCATTTTTAACAAATCGCTGTAACTTTTTTTCTATGGAAAATGTTATATTTTTGTAAAAACATTTCCAAAGCACTTTTTTACGTAGAATTTAATGGTTTAAGTATAATTTTTTTTAAATTTAATAATTTAAGAGTTATCAACAGAAAAAAATATTTTTTTATTGGGGACACCCTGTATATTTTAATTAAGTGAAAAGAACTTAAAATTACCTTTCCAAAAATATAGCACACTTGATATTTTATTACAGTCCTCTTTGAAATACAGAATTTTTATAAGTTCGCCACTTTTAACTGGTAGTTATTTGTATAATGTTTTGTATTCTCCTTTGTTTGTTTGTTTGTTTAGTTTACCTTTGTCTACAAATTGTAAATATTTTTGATAATAAAGGCATTTATTTAAAACGAATTCCGCGAGAAATGTTCAAAAACGGTCCCGTCTGGCCATAATAGAAAACGGTAGACATGTCGAACACATGTAGCAAAATCTCATGTCTTGGTTGGCTATTAATTTTTATTGTTATTAGATATAATTTAAATATGTTGATGTTCTTAAATATAGTCTAAATTGTTATAAAATTCTGCATCTCTCGTTGTAAATATTATTTTCGTTTTAATTGCTGCTCACAGCTATAATTTTTTTGCATTACAGCCAGCGTCGTTCAAAGCCTACTTATTCAAAGTGGGCGAATTTTTAAAAACTCTATATCTCGAACAGGAATCGAGCAAAATATGTATATAAGTATGCTATATTTTTGGAAAGATAATTTTAAATTCTTTTCAACTTATTAAAAATATACAGGGTGTTCCGTATAAAAAATCAAATTTTTTGTTGATACTTCTTAAATTATTAATTTTAAAACAATTATACTTAAACCATTAAATTCTACGTAAAAAGGTGCTTCCATAACAAAAAAAAATTTCCATAGCAAAAAAGTTATAGCGATTTTTTAAAAATGCACAACATGTTGCTTAAAACAGACTTTGGTACTAATTAGGTATTTTTTTGGAAATAATTTGGTATTTTTGGTACTTTTTTCCCTAAACTGGTATTTATTTCACACCATTTTTGGCAGCGGTTTGCCCCTCGGGAAACGGAAGTTAGCTGATACGAAAGGTATAGTGAGAATCAACATTTAAGCTGACAGTATGTCGACCGAACATACGCGAACAAAACAAATGTTGGCACATACTCTCATTTCTAATGAATACGCGCCTTGAGACGATCATTAAACTATTATTATTATCAAGCTAACTTCAAGTATCCGAACTCGTCGTCATTATTACTAACCGACTCCTACATTGTGCCAGTTAATGATGCGAACCCTACAGTGTGGAATTAATGAAAACATCCAGCTTTGCCCTTCCCAAACTCTGTGTGCTTTAAGAAAATTGACTGAAAAGCAAACAAGCTCAATATAATGTCGGTTTATCGGAAGTTTAGCTGCCAGACTTTAACTTTGTTTTTAATTCGTTCTCTTAATTTTAATTATTACATGCAAATCGTGGGCCTTGGAAGAGAAACTTCTGGCTAGAGTTTTGAAAACTAGGGTAAGTTGATTGAATTTATGTCGTAAAGTAATAAAAGATAAACAGCAAAGAAGTTTTGCTGCTGTAGTTTCCTAATAATTCTGGTCATTCTAGTCTAATAAAATTAATATTATTTCTATATTTTTTCCCACAGCAACTGTTAAAATTGCCTTATATCTATCAAAAATAGTAGATAAAATAGTACTTTAACGGCAAGGGTAAATTAAATGATACTTTAACAGCGAGGATAGGTTAAAAACTTTATTTCTTTTCGCACGTTTTTTAATTGCTTCCATTTTTGAAAATGTTTGTATTCCTTTTTATAAATTATTCGAGATTTAAATGGAAGTAGTTTGAATATGGCGTTTGTCCCCTCAGCCTGAATTTCTGTTGGTAATTTACTTATTTCCTTTAGAGCCATTTCTGGCTCCAATTCAATGAGCAATCGACACAAAAGAAAATTAAAAAATATTGACTCAAAACTGACAACTAAAGAGACAGCTTTATTTATTTGTCAAATTACATAGAAACCAACGCCAACCCAGCACAATATTTTTAGCCGACCATACCAACAGGTATGGTAGACTATTAAGATCGACAAAAAAAAAGTTTTTTAATTTCACTCAAAATGGATTATTTGGGTCATAAATGACCTAAATACAAAATATTTTCATGGTGTCTGTCTGTCTGTCTGTCTGTCCGTCTGTCCGTGCGTCCGTCTGTAACACGATAACTTAAAAACCGCTAAACCGATTTTAACCAAATTTGGCACAAAGATACTGTGGCACCCGAGAATCTGACCATTAGTTTTTGGTGAGGGTGGGTGGTTGGTAAGGGGGTATGGGAGGGGGTTAAAAATTTTAAAAAATCTTAACTCCAAAATTACAGTAGCTAGCGAAACGCGGTTTTCAATTTAAGATTAGGAATAATATTTGCAACAAAATTTGTAATAACATAAAAATCAGTCAAAGTCGCAGTTTTTGAGATATTCCGTGT